TAGCTTTATTTCTAGGTATTTCATTCTTTTTTTTTGCAATGGTGAATGGGATTGTTTCCTTAATTTCTCTTTCTGATCTTTCATTGTTAGTGTATAGGAATGCAAGAGATTTCTGTGCATTAATTCTGTATCCTGCAACTTTACCAAATGCATAGATAAGCCCTAGTAGTTTTCTGGTGGCTTCTTTAGGATTATCTATGTATAATATCATATCATCTGCAAACAGTGACATTTTTACTTCTTTTCCAATTTGAATTCCTTTTATTTCTTTTTCTTCTCTGATTGTTGTGGCCAGGACTTCCAAAACTATGTTGAATAATAGTGGCTAGAGTGGACTTGTCTTCTTCCTGATCTTAGAGGAAATGCTTTCAGTTTTTCACTATTGAGAATGATGTTCCCTGTGGGTTTGTCATATGGCCTTTATTATGTTGAGGTATGTTCCCTCTATGCCTCTGGAGAGTTTTTATCATAAATGAGTGTTGAATTTTGTCAAAAGCTTTTTCTGCCTCTATTGAGATGATCATATGGTTTTTCTCCTTCAATTTGTTAATATGGTTTATCACACTGATTGATTTGCGTATATTGAAGAATCTTTGAATCCCTGGGATAAATCTCACTTGATCATGATGTATGACCCTTTTAATGTGTTGTTGGATTCTGTTTGCTAGTATTTTGTTGAGGATTTTTGTATCCATATTCATCAGTGATATTGGTGTGTAATTTTCTTTTTTTGTAGTATCTTTGTCTTCTTTTGGTATCAGGGTGATGGTGGCCTCATAGAATGAGTTTGGGAGTGTTCCTCCCTCTGCTGTATTTTGGAAGAGTTTGAGAAGGATGGGTGTTAACTCTTCTCTAAGTGTTTGATAGAATTCACCTGTGAAGCCATCTGGTCCTGGATTTTTGTTTGTTGGAAGATTTTTAATCACAGTTTCAATTTCATTACTTGCGATTTGTCTGTTCATATTTTCTATTTCTTCCTGGTTCAGTCTTGGAAGTTTATATGTTTGTAAGGATCTGTCCATTTCTTCCAGGTTGTCCATTTTATTGGCATAGAGTTGCTTGTAGTAGTCTTTATGATGCTTTGTATTTCTGCGGTGTCCGTTGTAACTTCTCCTTTTTCATTTCTAACTTTATTGACTTGAGTCCTCTCCCTCTTTTTCTTAATGAGTCTGGCTAAAGTTTTATCAATTTTTTAAATTTTCTCAAAGAATCAGCTTTTAGTTTTATTGATCTTTGCTATTGTTCTCCTCATTTCTATTTCATTTATTTCTGCTCTGATCTTTATGATTTCTTTCCTTCTACTAACTTGGGCTTTGTTTGTTCTTCGTTCTCTAGTTCCTTTACGTGTAAGGTTAGATTGTTTGAGACTTTTCTTGTTTCTTGAGGTAGGATTGTATAGCTATAAACTTCGCTCTTAGAACTGCTTTTGCTGCATCCCATAGGTTTTGGATCATCTTTTTTCGTTGTCATTTCTCTCTAGGTATTTTTTGATTTCCTCTTTGATTTATCCAGTGATCTCTTGGCTATTTAGTAACTTATTGTTTAGCCTCCATGTGTTTGTGTTTTTTTACATTTTTCTTCCCAGTAATTGATTTCTAATCTCATAGCGTTGTGGTTGGAAAAGACACTTGATATGATTAAATTTTCTTAAATTTACCAAGGCTTGATTTGTGACCCAAGATGTGACCTATCCTGGAGAGTGTTCTGTGTGCACTTGAGAAGAAGTGTAATCTGCTGTTTTTGGATGGAATGTCCTATAAATATCAATTAAATCTATCTGGTCTATTATGTCATTTAAATCTTGTGTTTCCTCATTAATTTTCTGTCTGGATGATCTGTCCATTGGTGTAACTGAGGTGTTAAAGTCCCCCACTATTATTGTGTTACTGTCAATCTCTTCTTTTATAGCTGTTAGCAGTTGCCTTATGTATCAAGGTGCTATGTTGGGTGCATCTATATTTATAATTGTTATATCTTCTTCTTGGATTGATCCCTTGATCATTATGTAGTATCCTTCCTTGTCTCTTGTAACATTCTTTATTCTAAAGTCTATTTTATCTGATATGAGTATTGCTACTCCAGCTTTCTTTTGATTTCCATTTTCATTGAATATGGTTTTCCATCCCCTCACTTTCAGTCTGTATGTGTCCCTAGATCTGAAGTGGGTCTCTTGTAGACAGCATATATATGGGTCTTGTTTTTGTATCCATTCAGCAAGCCTGTGTCTTTTGGTTGGAGCATTTAATCCATTCACTTTTAAGGTAATTATTGAGATGTATGTTCCTATTACCATTTTCTTAATTGTTATGGGTTTGTTTTTTTAGGTCCTTTTCTTCTCTTGTGTTTCTCCCTCGAGAAATTTTTTTAGCATTTGTTTTAGAGTTGGTTTGGTGGTGCTGAATTCTCTTAGCTTTTGCTTGTCTGTAAAGCTTTTGATTTCTCCATTGAATCTGAATGAGATACTTGCTGGGTAGAGTAATCTTGGTTGTAGGTTCTTCCCTTTCATCATTTTATATATATCATGCCACTCCCTTCTGGTTTGTAGAGTTTCTGCTGAGAAATCATCTGTTAACCTTATGGGAGTTCCTTTGTATGTTATTTGTCCTTTTTCCCTTGTTGCTTTCAATACTTTTTCTTTGTCTTTAATTTTTTGTCAGTTTGATTACTATGTGTCTTGGCGTGTTTCTCCTTGGGTTTATCCTGCCTGGAACTCTCTGTGCTTCCTGGACTTGGGTGGTTATTTCTTTTCCCATGTTAGAGAAGTTTTCAACTATAATCTCTTCAAATATTTTCTTGGGTCCTTTCTCTCTCTCCTGTCCTTCTGGATCCCTATAATGTGAATGTTGTTGCATTTCATGTTGTCCCAGAGGTCTCTTAGGCTGTCTTCATTTCTTTTCATTCTTTTCTCTTTATTCTGTTCCACAGCAGTGAATTCCACCATTCAGTCTTCCAGGTCACTTATCCGTTCTTCTGCCTCAGTTATTCTGCTACTGATTCCTTCTAGTGTATTTTTCATTTCAGTTATTGTATTGTTCATTTCTGTGTGTTTGTTGTTTAATTTTTCTATGTGTTTGTTCTTTAATTCTTCTAGGTCTTTGTTAAACATTTCTTGCATCTTCTCAATCTTTACCTCCATTCTTTTTCTGAGGTCCTGGGTCATCTTCATTATCATTATTCTGAATTCTTTTTCTGGAAGGTTGCCTATCTCCACTTCATTTAGTTGTTTTTCTGGGATTTTATCTTGTTCCTTCATCTGGTGTATAGCCCTCTGCCTTCTCATTTTGTCTATCTTTTTGTGAATGCGATTTTCGTTCCACAGGCTGCAGAATTGTAGTTCTTGTTTCTGCTGTCTGTCCTCTAAACATAACTCTTTTTGACAGATATAATCGTATACATTTGAAGTAGACAACATGGTGATTCCATATATATATATATATACATTGTAGAATGATTACAAAGATCAAGATAATTAACACATACATCCCCTCACACAATTAACATAGTTAACTCTTTTCTGTGTGTGTGTGCATATGTTGAAAACACATAAGATTTACTCTCAGCAACTTTCAAGAACATAACTCTTTATAGCAAGAGTGTAAGATGGAAAACACTTTAGGAACTTACAAACCCAGACTTAATTGTCATTTTTTTCCTGGAGCAGGTCCTTCCAAGTACTGCTTGAGTATTATGAGTAAAGGAAGAATGTAGTTCTGCCTGCCTGACCCTTAATACCTACAAGGGACAGATGCTGCTTGAGAAGTGACCTTATTATGCCAGATAATAAGGCATTGCTTGTATCTTCCACTTTGTTCTCCTCTCTGCCATTCTATTGTCGCCTGCAAGGTCCATGTAAAATGAGATGCCTTTGGTAAGCAAATGAGAGGAGTCAGTAAACCATCACAGGAGTACTATGACTGCATATCAGGAAAGCTATACAAAAGATTTAAACAAAATTGAGGTTGATTTCTCTCTTATGTCAATACAGTGGGTCTGGAGCTAGAGTGGTAGTTTCATGATATCAGGGCTCAGGCTCCTTGTCTCCCATACTATTGTTCTACCATCTTCAACTTGAAGATTCTACCTGGTTGTGCAAGAGGGTGGTAGCCAACATGTCTGTACTCAAACTGTCAGGGAAACCACAAACAGAGGGAGCAATAAGGGCATATGATCCTTCAAGACATTTCCTGGAAGCAGCACATACAGCTTCCACTTATATCCCGTTGGCTAGAATTTAGTCATATGGCCCCCACCCAGCTAAAACAAAGACTGGAAATCCAGTCTTTATACCAAGCACTCATATACTCTGCTGAAATTTGGGGGTTGTATTGCTATAGAAGAAAAGAATACTAAATATTGGGGCATAACTAGCAGCCCTATCCTAAAGATTCTCTTTCCCTTTTTCTTAAGGAAAAATTGTATAGTACTTAGTAAGAACCAAGCACAGTTCTGAGGGGTTTTTTTTTTCAGTCTATGAAGTCATTTAATCCTTAAAATAGCACTATAAGTAAGGTTCTATTACACACATTTTACCGATAAGGAAATTGAAATACAGAGAAATGAAGTAACTTGCCCAAGTTTACACAGCTAGAAAATTGCAGAGTTGAGATCTGAACCAGACAGGTTGGTTTGCCAACTAAGCTATACTGCCTTCTCTCTGCTGTATTTCAGAATATTTTTAGCCCTCTGTATGAGAAAGTGGAAAAGACTTTAAAAGGGAGATACCATCTTTTTATTCAGAAAACAAATGAGCACAAGATATAAGAAAAGCACAGCCTTTAGTTATTAATTCCAAGGAGTCACTTACATTTCTGTTTTAAAAGCCAACGTGAGTATAAAGTATAAAGAATAACACAGGGCTTCCATGGTGGCGCAGTGGTTGAGAGTCCGCCTGCTGATGCAGGGGACACAGGTTCATGCCCCGGTCCGGGAAGATCTGACATGCCGCGGAGCGACTGGGCCTGTGAGCCATGGCCGCTGCGCCTGCGCATCTGGAGCCTGTGCTCTGCAATTGGAGAGGCCACAACAGTGAGAGGCCCGCGTACTGCAAAAAAAAAAAAAAGAATAACACAAACCTTGGTATATGAACAAAGTATTTGAATGCCCAGCATTTGGTCTTCCAATCATTGAATGAACGTGCATGTAAACCAATAACAACAATAAGAGATGGCAAATCAAACATATTTATACTCTCTCTCTACTTAAACCACACTGAAATAACAGTGAGGAGGTTCTTTTAAGCCATAACCCTATGAGAAAATGAACAAGGGGAAAGACAGTGACAACAAATTTATAGACCTTAGAAAGCAAACAGGCAGGTAGAAATTGACAGCAGATTCAAAAACACTTAATCCCAGACTAGTCACAAAGAAAGCCAAAAAAGCAACTAGATCTACCCCCACAGAACTCTCCAAAGGTTCAGGACTAAAAACACGAGGGTCATTTAAAGGCCTTTCTAAGAAACAACTAGATCCTCCGATCCCCACTGCAAGTTTGCACATCCCCACCAAATTTCCTCCTTCACTTCAGCAAGAGATTGGAAGTTTATACTCTGAAGAGGGTAAACAGAGAGTGTATGAATTAGGACAAACTAGGCAGAGGTGACTGTGGAGTGGTAGAGCTGAAAAAGAGGAATAAGTGAATGTCGGCAGAATGAACGTTGTGACCCTAGCCCTCTTTTCTTCCTCTGCCACCACCATAGCCCAGACAACATCATATCTCCCACTAACAACCTCCTAACCTCCTCCTTCCTGCTTCTACTCTCGCCTACCTGCAAGTCTCTTCTCCAAAGCAACTAGAGTGACTTTTTAAAATGTAATTAAGATTATATTATTCCTCTGCTTAAGATCTTCCAATGGCTACATCAATATAAAATTGAAACTTTCTGTGGTCTTCAAGGCTCTGCGTGATCTGGTCCCTGCCTTTCTCTCCACCCTAATCTGGAAGCACTTTCCCCTGGATTACAGTGCATTAGACACACTGGCCTCTTTCTTATTCCTTGCATGCCAAGTTTATTCTCATATCAGAGCCTTTTCAACTGCTATTTTCCTATCCAGAATAATTTTTTGCAAAGTTGTGTCCTTATCATTCAATTCTGGTTCAAATATTACCTTCTCAAAAAAAGCCTATCCTGACTACCGTGTTTAAACTCTCTGCAGTCTCCACCCCTCATTGCTTCTTTCATAGCACTTATCACCATCTGAAGTCATTGTATATACTTACTTGTCTATTGCCTGTTTCTTCCTCTTTAAGGTTTGAGACACTCACTTTCTCTGCCTCATTTCCCCCAGAAGCCTCCACACCTATGTTTCCAATTCACGTATTTGTTAAATATGAGAAAAAGATAAGCAGTACTTGCCATCAGGAACTGAACTGACACTTACCCTTAAGGCTTCGGTATTGTTAGGAACTAGCCCTGGTGTTCCCCTGTAAAATATAAAAATCTGACAGAACACTAACATCAGTCACTCTCTGGTTATGATGAAATGAGACAACAGATAAGATCACTCAATAAACTTGCCTAAACTCAGATAAAAACAAGGTCACTGCAAACTACAAAAATAGCAAACCTCCTCTTCTCCCGGCTAGCAAAACCATTGCTTCTTTACCAACTACAGACTTAGCCTTGCAATTTTCCTCCCTTTTTCTACATAAGATGTATTATGATGCCCAATCTAATAATCACCCCCACTTCCAGACAGCACCCAAAACAGCATGAATCTCCATTTCCTTGAACCCTCCCCTCCAAATCACCCAATACATGCTCAAATACTTGTCCCTACTGTACACAAGCATCTCTCCATTCACCTGATAATCTTCTGAATCTCGCAGTACCTAGGTGCAGAGTAGATTCCTTCAACCAGAGATTATCTTTGTTCTTTCTTCTGCAGTTGAATAACAAGCTACTGCCCCCCAACTCCTTCTATCCTCTCATTTTCTTAAATTAGGAGATAAGGAAAATCTAGTTATGAAACCTAATTCTTACCAGAACCTCTCCTTTGGCTAACACTGCCCTCAATAAAGGAGTAATTTCTGGTGTTCCTTTTTCTCTTAGCCAATTTTTCTTCTTCACGTTTAAAGTGTCACTTATTTTCCTTCTCAGTTTCATACCCTATTCCATTCCCGGTTCTCTGATCGAATTCGTTTTACTGTTCAGGAAAGTAAAGTTCCTATTTTTCCCCCCTCACCACCATCATAGGTGATAAATACATCTACAAAACTTTTTGCACACTCTCTTTAGCCTTGCCCTCTCTGGCACCTTCTAACATCGTTCAAACTACATGCTTCCCCTCACCTAAGCCTTGTGACCCCACAGCTTGCTTTTTCTTCCAAATCAATCCTTTGTCCTATAACCCGCCCCAAATCAATAGGTCACATACATCCAATTAGACCTCAACTTCATACCCAATCCCGGCTATATACAAGCCTCCGCCCCATTCCACCCCTCACCTAGACCCGCGTCTATTGCAAGGCCCTGATCCGGCTCCGCACCTCCACCTGCTAAGTCCAGTCCCGATTCCCGGCTGTCCTCACAGCACATCACGCCCTAGTCTAGACACCACAGCCAATCCCCGGCCACATCCCCGCGCACCTCCCTCCCGCCCCCTTACTCTCCTGTGCCCGGCGCCTTTCACCTCCCCCTTCTCCACGCCCGCCCAGTTGCGTCCAGTCCGCTACCCCGGCCTGTCCCTCAGCCAATCGGCGTTTGGAATCCCGACCCCACAGTCCATCCCTTCCAGCCTCCGCCTCCACGCCCGAGTCCCGCCCCATCAGGCTCTTGAGGCCTGGCGGGACTGGAACTCAGGGAGACGAGGTGTTCGCGCGACGGGTGTGAGTGGGGCGCAAGGCGTTCACTTGGTGGGGCTGAGGGCAGTGGTCTCGGGTGCGGAGCCGCGCGGAGGGAGGTTGGGAGGGAGGGAGGCCTAGCTGGGGTGCGCTCGCCCGGCCGCGCGCCTTGGCGGGCTGGGAGGAAGAGCCGGGGCTGGATTTCCTTCAGCATTCAGACTCGCCTTCCGGAGCGGAGGCGGGAGCGCGGGCCTGGGCCGCTGACCCCCGGCCCTGGCGGCCCACGGGGCTGGTAGCAGAGGGTCAGCGCTGGAATTTCAGAGTTTGCTTGCTCTGGAGAGGGAATGGCCCTGAGGTGACTGGTCTTATGACCCCGGTCCTCGTCTCCTCCTTTTGCGCTTCATTTTTGCAATTTGGGCATTTTGTAAACGGTGTGGGAAGCTGACACCGACTCCAGTTCATCCGTAATCAGTATTCTTCCAGTTCATCCGTAATCGGTATAATCAATTTAAAAAAAGGAACAAGGCTGCTCACTTGCCACGTAAGTGACTCTTAGTGGAACCCATAGTTTTTAGATAAAAGAGAAAAGAGGCCCAATCTGTTGCTTTTGGAGCCCCCAGCCAGTACGGACATTCTTCCGTCTTGCTGGCGCGCGGCTCCTCCGCAGCTACCTGAGGGCGCAGCCGGGCAGCTGCCTCCTTCCACACTGGGCTGCACACCCACCATTACAAAGTTTTAACTCACGTGGGGCTGAAACCAAACTCGTGACAACTTAAACCGGACAGCCAGATTCCTTCCCTCTGCAGAAATTTATAATTAATTACACGAATCCCATTTTCACAAAACAGCTTTTCAGCAATTTCAGGATCATGTCTCCTAACTTAAGTCTTGTGCCGGCTCAGTATGGCTGATTTTTCCCATTCTTGCTTCAGTGACATGGCTTTGAGGCTTATTCCCACTGTACTTCCCGCGCCAGTACCTTGTTCACCTCCTATATGCCCTATGTTGTATCAGTAAGCCTTATAAACATTCTAGAAGTGGACCAACAGGTACAGCGTGAGGTGGAAATAAACTTTCCTTGGGTTAGACTCTTAACCTGGGTTGTGCATTCATTAGCACTAGGCCTTTTTGCAGTCACCTCACGTTAATCTTCCTTGAGCTTGCTGTTAACCTAAACATCTGTACTTTGTGAAATTCACTAAATCTTTTCCTACCTCTCCTCCACATACGCAAAGTGGTTATGAATTGATTATCTGGGTTTAAGTCCAGAGTTTCAAACTTTTTACAGTTCATCTTGACTGCTTTACTCATCTTTTAGCTCTGGATTCTCCAACAATCCATAAGCCTTCTCAGCTTCAGGTCCCCCCAAGCTGTGCCACACATATCTTCTGTATCTTCATTTTAAACAGCCTACACCAATGATAATAAATAGTTTAATTTTCTATTGATCATGTGTATATGACTGTGGAGTTTATCTTATGTATAATATGCCATAATCAGGTTTACTAGATACCCTGATTCACAATTTCCTGATTTTCTTCACAGAACACTGTTTTTAAGTATAAATGAAACAGTGAAAATATTGTTTAAAATGAAAAGCCATATACCTTTTGATTTTGTCCAACTTTTCAGTGACATCCCAATCTATTCATTTAGCTTCTCGGTGAATATGCATATGAAATGTTAATTGCTTTAGAAAAGTGCTGCTCAAAAAATGTTTATTTAAAGTACAGAAGAAAAAAAGCTTCAGGGGTTCTGAATCTGTATCTATCAGCCTGCTTAGATTTCTTTGGAGCCGATAATTCAGTGGTGCCCTCACAGTTCCTTTTACAATGAAATTACCTAGTGAGAGAGTAATGAGTGAGAAGAAAAAAGATCTGGGCATTGAGGAATTCTGTCATTTAAGTTTGGGAAAATGAGAGATTGTCATAGGTCAAAAGCCAAGGGAAAATGGCGTTTCTGGGAGGAGACAGGGCTTGACCAGCTGATCTAAAGCTGCAGAGAGCTCAAGGAAAGGGAGAATTGCAAAATGTCCAGTGAATTTAACAATATGAATGTCAAAATTGACTTGCACAAGAGCTGCCTCTATGGAATGATGGGTACAAAAATCAGATTGCACTGGGTTAGGGAGTATAGATTGAGGAAAAGGGACAGTTAATAAAATGATATGTTTTCATTGGGTTGGCCAAAAAATTCGGTTTTTTTCAATAAGATGGCTCTAGTAGCACTTGGTTGTCTTTAACTTCATTCGAAACAATTTTATTAGGTTGAATTGTGACAGCTTTCAAATCAGCGTGCATTTTTAAAAAACTTATCAAAATTGGTGAATTTTTTTTTTAATTGGTGAATTTTTGTATAGCCATTTTAATATTGACGATGGAAGAAAAAAGCAATATTTTCGGCATATTATGCTTTATTATTTCAAGAAAGGTAAAAACGCAACCTAAGCGCAAAAAAAGATTTCTGCAGTGTATGGAGAAGGTGCTGTGAGTGACTGAACATGTCAAAAGTGTTTTGTGAAGTTTTGTGCTGGAGATTTCTCGCTGGGTGACGCTCCATGGTTGGGTAGACCAGTTGAGGTTGATAGTGATCAAATCGAGACATTGATTGACAACAATCAACGTTATACCACTTGGGAGATAGCTGACATACTCAAAATATCCAAATCAAGCATTGAAAATCATTTGCATCAGCTTGGTTATGTGAATCACTTTGATGTTTGGGTTCCACATAAGTTAAGCGAAGAAAACCTTCTTGACCGTACTTCCGCATGCAATTCTCTACTTAAACGTAATGAAAACGTTACGTTTTTAAAACAAATTGGGGCAGGCGATGAAAAGTGGATACTGTACAATAATGTGGAATGGAAGAGATCATGGGGCAAGGGAAATGAACCACCAGCAACCACATCAAAGGCCGGTCTTCGCCTAAAGAAGGTGATCTTGTGTATATGGTGGGATTGGAAGGGGGTCCTCTATTATGAGGTCCTTCCAGAAAACCAAACGATTAATTCCAACAAGTACTGCTCCCAATTAGACCAACTGAAAGCAACAGTTGACAAAAAGCGTCCGGAATTAGTCAACAGAAAACGCATGATCTTCTATCAGGATAATGCAAGACCACATGTTTCTTTGATGACCAGACAAAAACATCTTGGCTGGGAAGTTCTGATTCATCTGCCATATTTACCAGACATTGTACCTTTGGATTTCCATTTATTTCGGTCTTTATAAAATTCTCTTAATGGAAAAAATTTTAATTCCCTCGAAGACTGTAAAAGGCACCTGGAACAATTCTTTGCTCAAAAAGATAAAAAGTTTTGGGAAGATGGAATTATGAAGTTGCCTGAAAAATGGCAGAAGGTCGTGGAACAAAACAGTGAATTCGTTGTTCAATGAAGTTCTTGGTGAAAATGAATAATGTGTCTTTTATTTTTACCTTAAACTTTTTGGCCAACCCAATAACTAGAGGAGACTTGAGCAAGGAAAGCTGAATATGCCGAGGAGAGGGGTAATAATCAATGGAGCAAAGTCTCTGTGGAGGGGAGAGGAATGACGTCTAAGTCATGGGAGGAGGGACTGTCCTTTTGTAGCAGGGTCACTTCCTTTATTATAGTAGGAAGAAAAAAGGAATATTTTTAGGTTTGTTTTTTTAGATGTGGGTAGGTTGAAAGAATTCGCATCTGATGGCTTCTGTTTTCTCTGTGATAGAGGGCAAGGTCATCTGCTTAGACTAAGGAGGGTTTTATGTTAGAGGAGTGTGGGAAAAATTTAAATAATCATTTTGTACTATGGGAGAGAAATATTGCCTATTCTCTTATGGCTTTTGGGTGGGCCCAAGAATTAAACTGACATAATACAGATTAACAGGAGAAAAGCACACATTTAATAAAAGTCTATGTGACACAGGAACTTTCACAAGGAAATGAAGACCCAAAGAAGTAGCAAAACCAAGTGCTTTTATGCTAGATTGAACAAAGAGAGGCCGTTGTGGAAAAGTAACCAAAAAATATAGGGAGACTAAAGGAAGATAAGAATTATTTTAACAAGGTCTGTTTGTACAGAATTCTCTCAGCTTTAACTCCCTGTCTAAGAGTGTTTCTTTTTTCCCAGTATAGGGCAGGTATCTTTCACATGGGAATTTTATCTCCTGTTTTCAGGAAGAAAGGGGGAGATCAGATCACTCTTCTTGCCTCGGCTGTTTTTCCAGTGCCTTTAGCTCACAATAATCCTTAGGCCAAAGTGGCAATTTTGGGGGGAGTATATTCTGCTATCCTGTACCTATAAAATATAGTAGAAATGCTGGAGAGTGTTGGGGGTCAATTTGAGATTAATGACCATAATTTGTGGTGAAACCAATCCTATCCTTTGTGATTTTCTCCAGCAGTCCACAGCTTCATGGGCCATAGGAAAAACAGACACTGTAATTGAGTTCATCCAGGGCCAGGGTTTTATAGATACCTATCTATAAAAGACAGACGGGGAGCTAGGGCATTGTAAAGAACATTATTGAAGCAGTGGAACTGGCGTCTAAATTGGAAAATAAAGGAAGGTGAGGTCTGATTGAGAAAAGGAGAGGCAGCCTCCTAGAGATCTTGATGATATTTAAGAATAGTAATCATTGGAATAAGTAAGCAAATTGGAAGGATAGGTAGTTTATGGTCAAAGATCAGAATACTTCAATTAATTGTTTTGGAATTAGACCAGATTGAGGTAATGGCAAGGTGCAGGGTGTGACTATAGGAAAGAGTGCCTAGGGTGGGATGGAAGAGAATAGTGATGGGCACAGGGATGTCAGTTGTTGGATGGACCATCTCTGAAGACATGGGAATTACCTGGGATGATCACAGTACTTAGAGTTGAGAAGAAAACTGTGTGCCTAATGAGAAAATCTCTAATGAATGACAAGGAGTTATCAGCAGGCCAGAAGATAATATCATAGAAGCAGATGACGGAAGTAGTAGTCTGGTAATGGTAAAATAGACAGTAAGAAAGAGATAAGTGAGGCATATACAAGCAAAAGCTGACACTGAGGCATATAGGAGTGGTATCTTCAGGGAGCAATAAGGTTTCAGTTCAAGCTAGGAGGTACAAGGAACACTCTGAAAACATAAAGATGTAATGGGATTCGCTGAGAATGGTGCAGCCGTTCCGAAAGACACAGTAGAAAGTTTGGAAAGTGGAAGAGAAATGAAGGGCTGGGTCAGTTTCCAGGCAATACTTTGCATTATGGTGGTAATGTGCTGCAGAAAACAGGGAAGAAGAGGTGGGAATTAGGCTTTGGGATTTCCAGATGAAAACAGGTAGATTTAGTGTCAACTTCCAAAGGGGAATGGGTATTGAGGTGTGGTGGCCAGAGGGTGTGGCTCACCCAACCTGGGGGGAATCTCCCAAGACCTGCAGCCTGAGGTCACACACAACCAGCCACTGACGTACAGTACTTTCTGAGATTACCTTGAAACCAAGGATTCATTTATTCATCTGTTTTGAAGTATGGGGAAACTAAGGCCCACCAAAGGTCAGGGAATTGTCCCAGGATAGAAACCTTTTTTTAATATCAAAAATAAGGGTTAGAATCCAGGTATCCTGACTCCTAGTCCTGTTTGCTCCCCTCCCAGCTCCCCAACCCCATTTATCTGAAGAAGGTAGAAGAGGTTTCTCTCACTTTTCTACTTGCAAGAAAGAATTTTACTTATACTTTCCTTAATAACAAATAAATTAGGTTGAATTTAAATAAATGGGCATTTTTTTTCTGAAAAATATATTGTCCTAAATCAAATAACTCTATGATACTGAATGAAGATTGTTCAACATAGTCACTGTTGTTTGGTAATACCTTTCCTCAGAACTAGCCCTACTGCCTAATCCAATTAATATTTTATTCCTGAACAGAACTATTAATGACCAAAGAATAGGCATTTCTTGATTTAAGAAAACCCGGTCTTTGACTTGAAAGACGTAAAACATAAGAGGTAATTATTTACTTTACAAAGGAATCAATATTTCATAAAAGGACTCATCATAAATAGTTCACTTAAATCATTAATTTATAATGTGATTTTATGTATTCATTCAGTCATTTGACACATTTATTTATCACGTGCCTCCTATGTGCCAGAGAAGACAGTGGTGAACTAAACGCACCAGGTCCCCCTGTTCATGGCGCTTACATTAAATTATCAAATGAATGAGTGAGTGGTCAGCCAAACAAACAGAAAGTGCTTTGCGAATTAACCTAAGCTGATGTGATGTAGAATGGCTAAGAGGCTGTCATTTAAGCTGAATTTTATTGACAAGGTAAGGAATTTCTATTTTACTTTTTAAGAAACATCCAATATATTATTTTTCACATCTGTAGCCTTCACATTTTGGTAACTTAAAGAGATTCATAGCTATTGGTAGTTTCAGTGGTCCCTTTGAATCAAAAAAGTGTGTCTTTTTTTCTAAAAGTTTGATTATTAGAGTTGAAGGAAATGCCATCCACTGATAGAACATTGTCAGAGTAAAACCTTATGGGAAGTTTCTGCTTTCCTGAATGCTTTCACTTCTAAATGGCAGTATAATAAGAATTCCATTTTGCTTTGATCTCCCTACTTTGACCCATGATTGATAATGATTTCCTTACAAGTAGAGAAGTAATCTAGATTCATGCCTCTTAGCAAGCCATTTCAATAGATTTCCAGCTACCTAGCTATCTTCTGGAATTGTTGAAGGCAGTACCGCCTGAGAAAATAAGGGAAGATTCATTCGTATATTCTTCATATTTATCAAGGACCTACTATAATCCTTTTCAAACAACTTTCTGAATAACCTGTTTCTAACAACTTTAATTTACTGTTACAAATTGCAGTTTTACTAGTGACTTCTCCAGACGATTCTGAAATTTAAGTAGTTCTTAGACTGAAATATTCTGGATTTTATGCCTAGTAGGAATGGAACTTTTACTTCCTGTCGTTTAATGCTCTTGACTAAATTAGAACTTTGTTTTTTAAATTCACCATACCCTTACAGATCTCTACTTTAAAACGACACATGCATAAATTTGTATAAGGATTCTATTAGAATGATTCTAGTGATGAGAGATTATATCATAGAAAGAAAACTCAGCTATCAATAAATTTTATTTTTATTTTACAAGTTTATGGTCTATCACCTAGCTATAAATGTTTAATAGTGATATAAGTATATATTTACTCCCTTTAAAATTTTTTCTTTTGTCCTGTAGCATGTTTTTGGCCCGGGGGAGACTGTGCACCCTTGGCAGTAGACCTAAATTCCTGAAGACAATTTGTGCTTCAAAAATCCTTGGACTCTCTACTTCTGCTGTAAGTATTGCTTAATCACTTACAGAAATAATAGTGCACATATTCTGCAATGTCCAAAAAACATAATTTTTTAGATACTTTATAATTATTTTATTAGAATGGGTATTTCTGTTATATAAACTGAAATTATCTCTTGTCATCAGCTAGACCTGACCTTCACTGGGCAGCTGCTTGCCTGTCTATGTATCAGGCATATTGCTGGGCATTTTATTCAATATCTCACTTTACTTTATTTTTTTTAATTAAAGTATAGTTAATTTATAATATTATGTTAGTTTCAGGTGTACAGCTTAGTGAATCCATTTTTTTGCAGATTATATTTCATCATAGGTTATTATAAGATATTGGGTATAATTCCTTGTGTTACACGGTAAATCTTTGTTGCTTATCTATTTTATGTATAGTAGTTTGTATCTGTTAATCACATACTCCTAATTCCCTCCCCCTGCACACTCTTTGATAATCATAAGTTTGTTTTCTATGTCTGTAAGCCTGTTTCTGTTTTGTATATACATTCATTTGTATTTTTAGATTCCACATATAAGTGCTGTCATATAGTATTTGTTTTTCTCTGTATGACTTACTTTACTAAACATAATATTCTCTAGGTCCATCCACATTGCTGCAAATGGCAATATTTCACTCTTTTTTATGGCTGAGTAATATTCCATTGTATATATACCGCATCTTCTTATGCCAGTCATCTGTTGATGCTTGGGTTCCTTCCATTGTAAATGGAATTTTCTCCCATTCTGTAGGTTGTCTTTTTGTTTCATTGATGGTTTCCTTTACTGTGCAAAAACTTAAGTTTAATTAGGTCCCATTTGTTTATTTTTTCCTTTATTTCTTTTGCCTTGGGAGGCTAATTAAGAAAATAATGCTACAATTTATGTCAAAGACTGTTTCACATATGTTCTCTTCTAGGTGTTTTATGATGTTATATCTTACATTTAGGTCTTCAAGCTATTTTGAGTTTATTTTTGTATATGGTGTGAGGGAGTGTTCTAACCTTATTGTTTTATATGTGTCTGTCCAGTTCTCCCAGCACCACTTATTGAGGAGATTATCTTTTCTCCATGTATATTCTTGCTTACTTTGTCATAGATTAGTTGACCATAGCTGTGTGGGTTTATTCCTGGTCTCTCTAGTCTGTTCCATTAATGTGGGTGTCTGTTTTTGTGCCAAAACCGTGCTATTTTGATTACTGTAGCTTTGTAGTATTGTCTGAAGTCTGGGAGTGTTATGCCTACTGCTTTGTTCTTTTTTGTCAGGATTGCTTTGGCAATTCTGGATCTCTTATGGTTCCTATAAATTTTTTTTTAACATCTTTATTGGAGTATAATTGCTTTACAATGGTGTGTTAGTTTCTGCTGTATAACAAAGTGAATCAGCTATATGTATACATATATCCCCATATGCCCTCCCTCTTGTGTCTCCCTCCCACCCTCCCTATCCCTATAAATTTTAGGATTAATTATTCTAGTTCTGTGAAAAATTTCTTGGGCAATTTGATAGGGGTCACATTAAATTTGTAGGTTGCTTTGGGTAGTATGGCCATTTTAACAATATTAATTCTTCCAACTCAAGAGCACAGGTTATCTTTTCATTTCATTGAATCATCTTCAATTTCCTGTATCAGTGTTTTATAGTTTTCAGTGTATAAATCTTTCACCTCCTTCGTTAAGTTTCTTCCTAAGTTTTTTGTTTTGTTTTGTTTTTATGTGATTTTAAATAGGATTTTTTTTTTACATTCACTTTCTGATATTTTATTACTTGGGAATAGAAAAGCAATAGATTTCTGTATCTTAATCTTGTATTCTACAACTTTGCTGAATTCATTTATTGGTTCTAATGGGTTTTGTGTGAGACTTTCTGGTTCTCTACATAGAGTATCATGTCATCTGCAAATAGTGACAGTTTGACCTCTTCCCTTTCAATTTGGATACCTTTTATTTCTTCTTCTTGTCTGATTGCTGTGTCTAGGACTTCCAATACTATGTTAAATAAAAGCAGCAAAAGACAAGGCATCCTTGTCTTGTTCCTGAATTTAGTGGGAAGGCTTTCAGCTTTTAACCATTGAATATTATGTTACCTGTGGGTTTGTCATAAATGGTCTTTATTATGTTGAAATATGTTCCCTGTATACCCACTTTGACAAGAGTTTTTACCATGAATGGTTGTTGAATTCTGTCAAATGCTTTTTCTGCATCTATTGAGAATACATGTAGTTTTTGTGTTTCCTTTTGTTGATATGATTTTGTTGATTGATTTGTGTATGTTGAACCATGCATGTGACACTGGAATAAATCCAACTTGATCATGGTATATGATCCTCTTTAAGTATTGTTGGATTCAGTTTGCTAATCTTTTGTTGAGGATTTTTGCCTCTATATTCATCAAAGATATTGGCCTGTAATAATTTTCTTTTTTTGTAGTGTCTTTGTCTGGTTTTGTATCAGGGTAATGGTGGCCTTGTAGAATGAATTTGGGAGTTTTCCCTCTTCTTCAGTTTTTTGGAATACTTTGAGAAGAATAAGTTCTTTTTTTGTTTGTTCGGTAGAATTCCCCATTGAAGCCATTGAGTCCTGATCTTTTGTTTGCGAGGAATTTTTATTTTTTATTTTTTTTTTTGCGGTACGCGGGCCTCTCACTGTTGTGGCTTCTCCCGTTGCGGAGCACAGGCTCCGGATGTGCAGGCTCAGCAGTCATGGCTCACGGGCCCAGCCGCTCCGCGGCATGCGGGATCTTCCCGGACCGGGGCACGAACCCATGTCCCCTGCATCGGCAGGCAGACTCTCAACCACTGTGCCATCAGGGAAGCCTGCGAGGAATTTTTTAAATTACAGATTCTATTTTGCTTCTAGTGATTGGTCTGTTTAAATTGTTTCTTCTTTTTTTTTTTGTTCTTTGTGGTACGTGGGCCTCTCACTGCTGCAGCCTCTCCCATCGTGGAGCACAGGCTCCGGACGCGCAGGCTCAGCGTCCATGGCTCACAGGCCCAGCCGCTCCGCGGCATGTGGGATCTTCCCGGACCAGGGCACGAACCCGTGTCCCCTGCATCGGCAGGCGGACTCTCAACCACTGCGCCACCAGGGAAGCCCCTAAATTGTTTCTTCTTGACTTATTCTTGGCAAGCTGTATGTGTAGAAATTTGTCCATTTTTGCTAGGTTGTCCAATTTGTTGGCACATAATTGTTCACAGTATTATCTTTTTTTTTTTTTTTTTTTAAATCTCTGTGGTAGTGCAACTTCCCCTCTTTCATTTTGTGTTTTGTTTTTCTGGGTCCTCTATCAGTTGATAGTTTCATGGGTGTTCCCTTGTAAATGATTCTTTGATTTTCCCTTGCTGCCTTTTGAATTCTCTCTTTTACTTTTGCTATTTTAATTATGTCTTACTGTAGGTCTGTTTGAGTTCTTCTTGTTGGGGACTCTCTGTGATTCCTATACCTAGATATTTGTTTCCTTCTTTAGGTTTGGGGATTTTTCAGCCATAATTTCTTTAAATACATTTTCAACCCCCTCTCTCTCTTCACCTTCTGGAACCCCTATTATACATAGATTGGCACACTTTATATTATCCCATTGATCTCATATGTTGCTTTCTTTTTTTTTTTCTGTCTGTTGTTCTGATTGGGTGATTTATTTTATCTTCCAGATTATTTCTTGTGTCATTAAGATGGCTATTCATTATTCCTAGAGTGCTTTTTGTCTCAGAAATTCAATTATCTGTTTTCAGCTGGGTCTTTATAGTTTCTAGTTCCTTGTTGAAATAATCTATGTTTAGATCAGTTCTCTTTCTTAATCCAGTCAGCATTTTTATTAATAACTCTTTGAACTCAGCGTCTGGTAGACTGATTATATGTTTCATTATTTAGTTTTTTCAGGGGCTTTCTCTTGCTCTTTTAATTGGGAGAATTTCCTCTGCCTTTTCATTTGACTTAACTTTCTCTTTCTCTGTGAACTAGGGAGAAATGGTTATCTATTGTGTCTTGTAGGGGTGCTTTCATGTTGGAGCATCCCTGTGCAGACTGTGCATATCCTTCAAAGACACAAACCAGTGTCTTTGGTGCGAAGGCTGGTTTTGATGTGGATGCCAGCCAGCTCTTCCCTTAGGGTGTGCTGACTGCTATCACCTTGTTAGGGGTTGTGGTTGGTGTTGGAGGATCTAGAGCCTGTGCAGGGTATGAAGCAGGACTTCCTGTCTGCTCTGTGGCTGTCGCCACCCTGTCAGTGGTAGGGTCTGCTCACCAGTTTTTGGAGCAGAAGCACTGAGGCTCTGGATTGATCAGGCTTCATTCCCCTTGAGTGTTTGGCTTGTGAACTCACAGAGGTCTGATGCACCACCTGAGTAGGTGTCTGTGGCTCCACTCAGACACAACCTAAAGTCACATCCCTAACCCTGTTGTGGTTATCCCTGATCTAGTGCAAGGCTGTGGTGTGGAGTAGGCAGGCCAAGCACTCACTAGGCTGGGGCTGGGGCCGGGACATTGTGGCTGTAGGAAATGAGGCGACTATGCTGCCGCCAGAGATCTGGGCTGCCTCTGTGGCAGTCTTCTCCTAGGACCTGTCTGCCCAAGATCCAGTGCCAAGTTCTGGCGTGGAGTGGGTGGAGCTGGTACACTCATGTGTCTGTGAAAGAGACCTCATCATGTTGGTCGCGGTGGTTCCCAGGCATTGCAGCAGTAAGCGCTAACAATGGCCACCACTCCAGCTGGACCACAACCCAGGACACTAGGCCATCTCTGTGTCCCTAGATCGAGTCTTCTCCCAGGACGTGTCTGCCCCAGATCTAGTGCCAAGCTGTGATGTGGAGTGGGTGAGGCTGGGGTATTCTTTCTGCTTCGATTGGGAAATGTAGCGAGCCAGCAGTCACCAGTGCAGAGCTCTCTCTGCCCTGTTTATTGGCAGGCCAGACCCCATGTACTCTTCACAGGTAAAGTCTAGGCTTCTCCAGTTGTCTCTGTTCCAACAATTCTCCCAGCAGCCAGAGGGCTTGTCTC